ACTGCCCTGAGCCACTCACTTGGAGATGCCGAGCGCGGTGATCTCGGCGGGGTGCGCGTTGTCCTTGCGGTCGAAGGCCGTGTGCATGGTCAGCTTGCTCCTGAACACCAGCTGCCGCTCCCACCGGTAGCCTGGGGGCAGGGGGGAACCACATTGGCCTGCTCTCACTTCCCTTCCCTCTTCCCCCAGCACACAGCCCCCTGTGACCTTGTGGGAAGCAAAACCCACCCCGCCGCAGAGGTGACGCCCTGCACGTCCCTCAGCTGCTCCCCAGAGAGGAGGAAAGGACAGGACACAAAATGACACAGAGCCTCCAATTTCTGCAGGTCTAGCTGGGAGCTGCCAGGAATGGTGACACACACAGGGAGGCCCCGTGCCAAGGCCTCGCAGTACCCAGAGAGCTGCTGCTTAGAAAACTCTAATGATTTTATTTTTAAGATCAAGACTCAGATTCAGGGCATGAATTTTCTTCACAAGGCTCCTGTGGTGCTGTGCTGTGGGTATGGGGCTAGACCACTCTGGTGCCACACCAGCGTTCTGGCTGAGGGTCAGCAGCACTTGCAGAGTGTCAAGGTTTCCTCCTTCCCCCCACTCTGCTCCATCCCCCAGCCCCTGTCAGGGGTCTGGGGATGTGCAGTAAGGTGGGAGGGGACACAAGCTGGACAGCTGACTCAGACTGTTGGAAGGGACATTCCACCCAGTGTAACATCGTGCTCAGCAGTAAAATTGAGAGGAGGGGTTTTTGGGGAGGGCAACCATCTGCCCAGACTGGCTAGCCATCATTCTGCTTGTGAGAGGTGGCTCACTTTCTCTTCTCTCTCCTTCACTTGCTAGACTCCCCTTAGCCCAACTCCTGCCTTCCTCTGCTCCTGTTCTTTCTGTCCTCTCCCCTCCACCACCCTGCTGAGCAACACACGGCCTCTGCAGACGCATCGTTCTCCTCACTGACCATTTCTGAACCATCTGCTCAGAGCTGTGCAGACGCAGAGGCTGCCCCACGGGGCAGTGCTGGCAGCACCCCTGCCCAGCAGAGGAGGGTGCCCCCTGTCCTTTACCTGGTTTGAGCTTGCTGTAGTGCCGTGCCTCAGCGTAGCCGGGGTGCGAGTGGTTGCCCTGAGCATGGGGATGCATTTTTGCTTGTCCCTCGGAGTAGTTCACGAAGATGAATCCATCTTTCTCATCCAAGCTGAGCTGGTCTGACCAACGCCTGGAGTCATCAGAGCTGCTGTCTGCTGACCATGCAGCTGCTGCTCTGGTTGATGATGACCGAGGCCTGTGGCTGGTGCTGCTTGGCTGACTCTGGCTCTCCTGCAGTTTCGTGTCCTGGCCTATGCAGGGATCATCTGCCTCGGAGTCGCTGCTGTCCTCCTCATGGGCTTCCTGCCCTGGATCCACCCAGCAGAGGGGGAGACACTGTCAGCAAGGCTGCTTGCTTACAGCCTGGGTTTTCTGCCCTGTTCTGCTGCTGCATTACCTACAGCCTGACAGGTACCACCACAGCATGAATCATAGAATCATAGGGGTTGGAAGGGACCTGGAAAGATCATCCAGTCCAACCCCCCTGCCAGAGCAGGGTCACCCAGAGTACATCACACAGGAAGGCGTCCAGGCGGGTTTTGAATGACTCCAGTGCAGGAGACTCCACAACCTCTCTGGGCAGCCTGTTCCAGTGCTCCGGCACCCTCACAGGGAAAAAATTTTTCCTGATATTCACCTTGAACCTCCTATGCTCCAATTTGCACCCATTACCCCTTGTCCTATCACAGGTCATCACTGAAAAAAGCTTAATCCCATCTTCCTGACCAGAGGGGAACTGCACACAGGCAGCTCAGAGCTCTACAGGAATACAGCTCCTGCCAGGAATCACAGTATTCACCTTATTTGCACTGTCTGTCAAGAGCAGCACTCTGAGCTGAAGCTATTTCCTACAACTGTCTGTCTGAGGTAGGCTAGGATAGACACAATGAACAGAATTTTCAAAAACCCTTAACTTGGCAAAACCAAACCCTGCTGCCTTTCAGCAAAGCTTACACAAGCAGGCACAGCTTCAGCTGTACTGAAACTCTGGCTGGCTGAAAAACATGATGAAGATTTGCTAATAACAGCTTTGGTTGACACAAAAAAAGCATCTGCTAAAGATATTTATATTCCTAGCAACACCAAAAAAAAAGAGCTGCATAATAGTAATAATTACTAATGAGTATCATGTGATCCAGATCCAAATCTAGAGCATATCTGCAGTATGAAGATGGTAAGAGGAAGATGAGGTGGCTAAAAGAAACACCAATCAAGCATGCATCAAAATCTTCTGAAAGGGGAAAATGGCACGAGCAGCACTGCTTGTCTGAGCAGCATGCTGCTCCATCAGTGGATTTTTTAACTCTGCTGTGATACCATAATTCCATTTAGAAAAAAGAAATAAAATGAAAACTCCAGCTTTTGGCCAATGGCAGCATCCACTGGGTGCCCTGACAGCAGAAACAACCACACACAGGAGAGTGCAATCTGCACAGAACAAAAGCTATGAAAGGCATGATCTTTTCTTACTCACAGCAGTGTGGAACTACTACAAGCAAGGCACTGAACAAAGAACTCAGCTGCTCTGTTTATTATGCCCAAAAATACGCAGAAACAAAAAACAATAAATTGAGATAAAATCCCCATCATCCCTTCTGCACTTCATACCCACAGGACTTTGCCTATACAGCAAAGATCAGACAAAAGGCAAATCCCAGCACTGGTGACAGACATACCTATTTGTGCTTCCTGACAGTCCTCCTGCATCTCCAGCATCTCTGCAGGCTCTGGAGCTGGTGTTTCTGGTACTTGCAAGAACTCCATCCGCCAGAACTGGAGACAGAGAGGGGAGAAGTGGCACGGGCTGAGCACTGGGCTTCCTTCTGAGCTAATTCTGGAGTCAAGGTGGCTTATTAGAACTCTGCAATTGCTATGGCAGCAGTGAACTGCCATTCCTATCTCCACACTAAGCCCTGGTTTTGGGGGCTAGATACTATGAGAGGACATCTGGGTTCACGCCTTAACCTCAGATGAACAAGTCTTTTGTTGTTACTTAACATCTTAGCTATTCAAATAAAAATATCCACTCCACACTACAATCTGACCAGTTGGCTCCAGTTAAGGCAGACCCAGGACTGCCCAGAGAAAAGCACTGAAAACCAGGGTAGACTTGCAGTCATCAGAGATGCCACTGGGATCCCCTTTTCTTTCTAGGCAGCAAAACAAATTGTCCCAAGGTGTGTAGAATAAAAAGAGTGAATGAAAACCACAGTCCCCAGGCATGAAAACTGGTGACTAAAAAGTAACCAAAACACAGGAGGAAGGGAAATCTATGCTGCTGACTGTTGCTAGTTACCACATCAGGATGGGTGCACTGAAAAGGAGAAGGAACACTTGGAAGTCAGCTCACTTCAAGAGCTTGCCATGAGTGCTCAATGCCCACCTAGCTGGTGGGCAGGATGTGGTGCAGGACCCTGTGTGCCAACGGCACAGCTGGGCCCAGCACCAGAAGCAGTCAGCACGGACTCCCTCCTCCCTGCAGGAGCAGCTGTTCAGGTGGAGCACCCGAGCAGAGCAGGACACAGACACGACTGCAGCTGCTGGTGCTGCTGGGGCGTGTGTCCCCCTGCCCGTGGCGGGGCCCTACCCGCACGACGCCGTCGGAGTGCCCGGTGACGATGACGTTCTGGGTGTCCCACTCGTTCATCTCTGACACAAGGCAGCAGGTGATCTGCTGGCTGCGGCCCGTGAAGGTGTTCACGCTGGCCGTGGGGCTGCCGTTGATGCTCCACACGTGGATGTAGGTGCCAGCACACGAGACGATGTCCCCCTGGAAAGACAAACACCGCCTCCGTGTTTCAACACCGCTCTCGGGTTCTCCTCAGCACAAACACAAGCCAGGTTCACTCCCAGCCATGGCTTTTCAGGAAGTTCTGAGTTGGGTCACCTGGACAAATCTTCAGGAAAACATGCATGTCTGTTTATAGCACAATAGTTTCTCCATTTTTGACAGCATAACAAGCAGACAGTGTATTTTCAGTACTTCTCAGTGTATTTTCAGTACTTCTCAGTTTTCAAAAGATTCTGCTCATACTGACTCTGCTCCTTTTCCACAAGCATGTACCTTCTCAAATTTCATTTGCTTCCTTGTTGGGAAAAGGGCAAGAGATGGTCCAGACTAGTGCAGAGGGGAAGTGGGAGCTACACTCCAAAACACTGCCAGCACTGCAACCACCAGACTACTAGCAGCTCATAAAATGTGCCTCGAGCTCCCCTCTCCTTGC